GCACGTAGTTACTCCTTCTACCCTTTCGACGAAGCTAGAATCTGATATTGTCAGTGTAGTGCTAATTTTACTATGTAGTGATCTAACGAAGTTCTGTTGAAATTTTTGTTATTTTGTATAAATTTCACATATTAATTAAATTTTTACTGCCAACACCGGTGGACAAAACTAAACTAAACTCCCGATCTCGAGGGGATGCTCCAGTGGGGTAGTTATTAAAAAGTAAAATGTTATGAATTTCACAATAAGATGGCGTGGCAACCTGGTTCTCTTTTCTTTTCCTTATTATTTATTTGCTATAAAATATGAACTGGCGAAGAGCACCTCTACACACTCTGTGAGATGTCGGCTTAAGCTATCCGATCTATACTGATATACAAAGAATTGCTTTAGTTTCTGTAAGACATGCTTTAAAAGATCAAAAGTACGTAGATTTAGTGCTGGATCTCATTGTAAACTTCGAGAGAGATAATATTGGCGAGTTTTTTAATGTATGCTTAATAATGTACTTTACATACAAGCAGAGTTAACAATATATTTTTTTAGAAAATAAAACTGTCAATGTTTTACTATGGTCCTCCTGATCGCCGAACCCTAAATAAACAGAGTACTTATGAGATATGATCAAAAGAAAGATAAAAGCTCGTCAACATCTTGGTGGCAATACATTCAAGTAGTTCAATTAATTGCAATATTTCCATCATGGGAAAATCTACTGCAGGGAGTCATTAATTACTTAATTGGAATTATTTGTAAGAACTTTTACTTTACATATTTTCTATATTATTTAAATAAAATAGTATTGAAAATATTCGCATTTTATGTTATAAGGATCTGTGTTCCAATAAATAATTATACAGTCTAACCGAAACAAACAAATAGGGCTATAATGTCTGTCAGGCCACTGAGTTGTTCTCTTTTTAAATACAGATACTGGGTAACCAATGTTCGGACCATTCAGCACAAAAAACAGCCAGTATCCATGGTCAATTAACTGTCTTATAAGCAATGGCTACACTAGAGAAGCAGAAGAAGAATATCCAATTGGCGGTGACTTTAATTTTATTTTGTATGCATTACATTCTGGTTGTTATTGTTGAATTCAAGTAATTTCAAAGTACTGTAATTTTTTGCTGTTTAACTTTGAATTGTGAGACTAAAAATGTCATGTGAAGAGTTAGATGTTCCAATGTAAAAAACATATTAAAAAAAAATTTTGGTCGTGTTTGGGAAGTGAGCAAAAAGATAAAGCTACAAAGTCACGAAACAGGTGAAAACGGTTTTGGCAAGAGGTGTTGATGTGACAAATCAGGTACAGCGTAGGCATAAAAAAATGACAACGATTAGACTCTGACTGAAAATAATCAAACAAAAGATATCCCGGTTTCTTTTAAAGAATTCATTGCTATACAGAGTATTTCTTAACAAATATTAAAAACCCTGAAAAAATATTCGCAAGATACTGGAAGCTCTTTATTAGACAAGGGAGCCAAACGCAACAACAGGCAAGAAAACTTACAGAAGATATAAAAAAATAAATAATAGAGCACCTAAGATCATTGCGTGCTCGTAAAAATCATTACAGTCTTCATGAATCCTCCAAAATATACCTTGTTAAGGAACTAAATGTTGAAAATAATGTAGAATATGTTTCAAAATAATGATTTACTGTCTTATGAGTCATACAGAGCTATTTTTGTAAATATCTTTAATATTAGTTTTGGCTACCTTAGATCAAACACTTGTGGAAGTTGCGTTATTAATATAAAACTGAAAGGCTTAGAGGTTGGTTAAAAGAATGTATGTAACAGTAAACTAAATGGTGTTATTGAAAAGAAGATAGGAAGATAAGAGAGATAGATACCAAAAATCAATTACACAAGATAATAGCAGAGGTGTTCTATCGCACTGATTCCGAATACTACGAACTGATCAAGAAGAACTAGACTCTTATAATTATGGGAGATTTCAGTGCGAAGGTAGGACGAGGACGTGTTGAAGATGTCGTGGGTGACTTTGGTTTGGGAGATCGAAACGAGACAGGTGATATGCTAATCCAGTTCTGTCAAGAAGAAAAATTATTCATTGCCAATACCTGGTACATGACATATACGCATGACAACATCGTGAGAAATCAAATTGATTTTTATGCATTAATCAGAGATACAGAAATGGATTGCAAGGAGTAAAAACGTACCCTGAAACAGATATCGGATCTGATCACAATCCCGTAGTAGGAAAATTGAAAATTAAGCTTAAGAAAATTAAAACAAAATCCATAAAGGAAATTGATATAAACAGGTTAAAACAACATAACGTTAAACTCAAAGTCACAGAAAGATTAAATGAGGCAATAGCGGATATCACGAAAAGATCTAAACAACCGGCCAGTATAGAAGACAAATGGAATTGTATTAAAACAGCTATCGTAACCACCACCAAGTCTCTGATCGCTTCCCAAATGTACAAAAAGAAGAATTGGATGACTGACGAAATATTATCAATGATGGACGACCGCTGATCATTTAAAAACAAAGACCGAACCAGACATCAGCAGATCAACCGACAAATACAAAAAGAGTGTCGCAAAGTTAAAGAACAGTGGCTGCTAGACGGGTGTTCAGAAATGAAGGAATTGTAAGAAAAAACATGACCACTTTAACATACATAAGCTTATTAAAGAAGTGATAGGTCTTACAAAACCTTGCAGTTTTAACAGTATTGTGAAGGACAATAAATTAATTACTGATCCCAAAGATCTACTTCAACATTGGAGTTGAAACATTCAGCAACTATACACAGAAACTCTGAAGAAGAACTAGAAGAAACTCTGAAAGTGAATATAAAAGTGAACCCTCCCCCAAAATATTGAAGTCAGAAGTTGTAAGGGCAATCAAACAGAGCAAATGGGGAAAAGCACCAGGCCCAAACGACATATACATAGAGGTTCTAACAATGTTGAGTGAAGACAATTTAGACACCTTGGTAGATCTTTTTAATGACATTTATGGGTCCGGTCAAATACCACAGGACTGGCTTCAATTAACCTTTATACCAATTCCAAAAAAGCCAAACGCTAATAGCTGCGACCAATTTCGAATGATCAGCTTATTGAGTCAGATCCTAAAACTCTTCTTAAAGATAATTCTCACAAGAATATACAACAGATGTGAAAGAGACATTAGCCCCACACAGTTCGATTTCAGATAAGGCTTTGGCACAAGAGAAGCACTTTATAGCTTAACTGTCCTACTTCAGAAATGCAGAGATCAGCAAAAAATGTCTTCCTATGCTTTATAGATTACCAGAAAGCATTTGATTGTGTTAATCATTCAGAATTAATAAGATTGCTCCAGGAACGTTCGATAGATGAGAATGACCTTAAAATCATAAAGAACCTTTATATGAATCAAGTGGCATCTGTGAGAGTGGGACTGGAATCTACATCATGTTTCTCAATCGAAAAAGGTGTACGACAGGGTTGTGTTCTGTCACCCCTCCTTTTTAATCTTTACTCTGAAACGATTTTCGATAGAGCCTTAAGTGACACTGAAGATGGAATCAAAATCAACGGACACACTATTAGTAATCTTCGCTATGCTGACGATACAGTCATAATAGCTGATAGCCAAGAAGCGCTACAACGACTAATAGATAGAATAAACACTGAAGTAGAACGAGTGGGCTTGAAGATTAATATACACAAGACGAAGGTAATGGTGGTTAGTAGAACACGAAATATGCAATTGAATATAAGAGTAAACAACAAGAACATCCAAAAGGTACCCAAGTTCAGATATCTCGGTAGTTGGATAACTGAAGATCTAGATCCAGACATAGAGATACGTAGCAGGATTGAGCAAGCCAGAACAGCATTTACTAATATGAGAACCTTGCTAAGCAACAGCAGCCTCAACTTAATGCTTCGATATCGCTTTGCAAAATGTTACATTTACTCCATACTGCTATATGGTGTAGAAATCTGGACCATAAAGGCCAATGTGATGAACCGATTAGAGGCCTTTGAAATGTGGGTATTTAGAAGACTACTTAAAATCCTTGGACAGACCACACAACAAATGTCGAAATATTAAATATAATGGGCAGAGAACGAGAATTGCTGCCAATAATAAAAAGAAGAAAAACTGCTTATATGGGTCATATATTTTGAAATTCCAAGTACCAGTTCTTAAAGCTTATTATGGAAGGGAAGATAGAAGGAAAACGAGGCATCGGAAGAAAGAAATACTCATGGCTTAAAAACATAAGGGATTGGACAAATCTCGATGCCCATGCACTTTTTAGAGCCACACAAGATCGAGAGAAGTATTTCAGAATTGTCGCCATCATCCACTAATTGGATGGGGCACCATAAGAAGAAATTCTATCCCAAAAAAATTAAAGGTAGAATTTAATTTCAGTCATCTCTAATAAGAGAAGCAGTAGCCGTAGATAACAAAAAAATAAGCATATCCAACATAACATAAACATTAATTTGTTTAATATTCATGTTTTGTCTTCATCGGATTCCTATTTTTCTGCTATGATGAGACTATTGCTAATGAAGAAGCAGATGAAGTTTAACAATACAATTCTTTAATTAGCAATATTTCAGTTAATAGCTAACTGCTATTTTGACTCTGACCCCTTCATATATAAAATTTCAATTATTTTATATTAATAATTACACGTTATTATTATCTTCTTGGTTTATAGGCAATAATATTTACTTGCCCCTTTTTAATTTTATGGGGACGCCTTTGGTTGCAATGAAAAACGATTTTAACACCTTAGACATATCTCATGAGTTGTCTGGTTAAGGTAAGGTAAGGAAATAAAAGTAAAAAAAGAATTTGCCCTCATTACATAGAGGGCAACTAATATTGTGCCGGTGGGGAATATATATAAAACATGACGAATTATTGCAACTTGACAATTAATCCGATTTAACCAACATTTTCTTTATTTTATACTTAGTGCGCAACCCAACTTTTTTAAAAATGTATAAACTTGTAAGTATTAATTTATTTTAATATTAGTTGCTTTAAATTTCGACTATTGTTATTAAGTATCATAATCTATCATTGTGTATTTTAAGTACATTCTGTAGAACGAAATATAGGTATGTAATATGCTTATCAAGGAATCTATGTAGGCTTTCGTAGCCGGTGTTTGAAATGGTACATTGATTTAGGGTGTATAGGCCATGATTGGGAACTGTTTATTCCCGATGTTTAATTGTTGCATCCACTACCATAGTGGCAGACAACCTCAACAAACGTCAGGAACAAAAAATCCCAGAACAGCGCATTTAAATCTCAATTGCAATCTATTGTTAAAAATATATACTTCTTTATTAGTACATAAATACTATAAAATTCTTTGGTTTTCTTTTTTTATTTTTTTTTATTTTATACGGAAAAGATCGTTGTGACATTTATTTATATCTGTTCTCCTTTTTCTTATTATTCCCAGTTGTTTGATTAGGATGATTCTACTTTAAATAATGCTATGTTTTAACTGAAAAAAATCTCAATATATGTTGTCTATTTAGCATACAAAGTTGATACTGAATCATGTTTTAGATTATTTTTTTATTTTTAAATTTATCTTCGTTTATAGATATTTTGATGTGCCTAATAATACATCTATCAAGATATTTGATGTTGAATGTGAGTCAGTAAGATAAACGAAGATAAATTTAAAAATAATAAAGTAATCTACAACATGATTCAGGATTAACTTTGTGTGCTAAGTAGACAACATAGATAGAAATTTTTTGATTGATAGATCGAGATCATATTATGATTCTTTTGTCTTCGCTTTTTTTTATTATTTCTCAACATATTTGCCATAAATCTGTTTTCTACTGCGTTTATTCTTTTCTGCTTATAAATACTTGTTTACTATTCACAATTTGGAGCCGTAAGTCGTAAGCCGTAACAATGAATTCAAGTGGTTTATGATGTCAGTTTTACTTCATTGGAATTTATATTCTTTTGCTTCCTTGATGTTTCCATCAATGTTTAAATATTTTGTGTGGAGTATGCTGCCTATATACTTTTTCTCAGTATTAATTTTCAGGAGCTATTTATTTAGTTCCTTCACCATTTTTCTATCTAAATACATGGTATTATGAATATCGACAATGGAGACGTCATCATTATCAACAGATATTCAATCCATCAACGGATATAGGTCTCCCTTAGGTGCATCCATTCATTTCTGTTCGTTGTTTTTTGCATAAATTCATAACCAGCCGTTCACTTAATGTCACCAGTTCCTTTGGTTTGAGGTCTACCTCTATTTCTCTTATTTGCTCTTTGTAGCCATTTAAAAATTCTCTTCGTCCAACAGTTATCTTCAATTCGTCCTATGTGTCTTGCACAGTTCTATTTTGACAGTCTTTTGGATTACGTCTTTTTTGATAGTTTTTTTTTATTTCTTCATAAGATATGCGATCGCTGAGCTAATGTTGATCATTCTGCATTCTACAGCTCTCTGAGTCACTTAAAGTCTGTGGACTATATTGTTAAAAGCCCATATTTCAGTTCCATGTGCTTAGGTCTCCTGCTATATTATCTCGCCACCGGAGACGAGGGCGTCCGCGTGGTCTCCTTCCAGTTGGAACTTCCTCCCACACCAGTCTTACTGTTCGTTCGTCAGAATGTCTTCTGAGGTGTCCTGCCCATTGGAGTCTTCTGGACTTTATTTCTTTTATGATGTTGGCGTCTGGGTAAAGTTCTTCAAGCTCTTTATTAGTTCTTATCCTATATTGTCCTGATGCTTCATCAAGCACCGGACCAAAGATCTTTCTTAGGATTTTTCTTTCCCAAACACGAAGTCTCTCTTCATTTGCCTTTGTTATCGTCCACGTTTCGCTTCCATACATCACAACGGGTCGTATGATTGTTTTATAGACCTGTATCTTCGTACGTCGTGTTAGTTGTTTTGATTTTATAAGGTTTTGGAGGGCAAAAATACATCTGTTGCCGGCCTGAATCCTGTTGTTTAATTCTTGTGATCCGTTATTGTCTTCAGTTATTGTTGTTCCAAGATACTTGAATTCTCTAACGCGCTCAAAGTTAAAGTCATCGATGGTAATGTTCTGACCGATTCTGTCTCTGCTTTCTTTGGTTATTGCGGCTCATATACATATATTTTGTCTTGCTTTCGTTGATTTGGAGCCCCATTTTCTCTGCTTCCTTCTCAAACCTTACGAAAGTCTCCTTCATCCTTAATCACGTGTTTCCTATTAGATCTATATCGTCTGCAAATGCCAGTAGTAAGTTTGGTCCTTCTCGATGAAATACTGTATTCGGTTTTTCGATTCTTGCACTTCTGATTATGTGCTCCAGAGCTAAGTTGAAGAGTTGTGGTGAAAGTGCATCTCCCTGTTTTAGTCCATTGTTTATTTCAAATGTCTCCGAGTATTGTTGTCCAACTCTCACCTTACATCGTAACCGTTCCATACACATCCGTATCAACCGGACTAGTTTTTTTGGAAAGCCAAGTTCCTGCATCGCTGTCCACAGTCTGTCCCTACATACAATCAAATGCTAGTTTAAAATCTATGAACATCTGATGAAGCTCACGATCAAACTCCCAGCATTTTTCCATTATCTGTTTTATTGTGAATATCTGGTCAATTGTAGAGCGGCCCGGTCTAAATCCGCATTGATAATCTCCAACGATTTCTTCTGTGTATGTTTTGGTTCTTTCTAGCAGGATTACAAGAAGGTGTTTGACTCCATTTGAAATCAGCCTTTAGGTTAAGCTTTAATAGGCGATTTTTTGTTCGAAGTATATACACGACTAAATCTGTTGGTTATTATTATTATTAAAGCAGTTATATCTAGATATTAATTTATTAGATATTTAACCTTTGCTATATGTATTTTTAGTCTTTTCTTTTCTACTAAAAGAAAACTATTTCTTTTAGTTTTGTATTTAGGTACAATGGTTCCATCATCGGTAAATCTCAGGTAGTTGTTTTCTACAGTTACCTTCTATATCTTTTACGGCTAAAGTAAACAATTAAGATATAATCTCCTTGTCTGTAGTTTATACTTAATTATTTTTGTATATCGTCTATCAACTGTATAGCCGCTTAAAGCGTTGACAATTGCCCATATTTCTATGGAGTCAAACACCTTCTTGTAATCTTACATAGCTATCCACACAAGGACAACGTAGTAGTCTGGAAATAAAAACTTTTAACACAGTACTGTCCTATTTATAACCCATAGGCGTTTATCAACAACTTTTGGTTATAATAATACCTCACTATTTTTAAAATAACTTTTTTAAAATCGATTTTCGGAGTGGAATACTATAAATAGCTAAAATTTGATTAATATGTGATTCGTTTTATTCAACTCTCAGTCGACTCTCTACCTTTGCCTCCTTCTCCATTCAATTATGTAATGGAAGGAGATCAAACAACATCGTTCTTTATTCCTTCATTTAGAGTCTCTCTGTGGTCTTTTTTTGGCATTTAGACCACCACATTAGTGCTTCAAATGTAATCATAGGTCTGCCTGTAGCCATATATATACAGTACATCTGTTTAAGATCTGTATCCTTCGACATGTCCAAAGAGAAAACATTGTTTTGTTGGTTAGGTATATTAAAATAACATGTTTGTTATTAAAGTTTAGACTTTTATAATAAAAGTTATTTAAATCAAGTAGATATTAAAAAAACTAAAATTAAGTATTATTGGTCTTTTAGAGGTTGTAGAGAAGTATTTTCTTCATATAATACCGATTCCTCCAGATAAAACGATTTCAATTTGTAGTATACTCTTACAGTAAGCTAACGTGTTAGCACGATTCGCCAAAACTTAAGACTTCTTACTCCATAGATTACATTTCATTCATTACACTAACTACGAAACTATGATTAAAAATTCACTAAGATATTTCTATAGAATAATCGATTACAAAATCAGTTTTTCCTGTTTTATTCACTTATCATCTCTTAGCTAAATCATGGACTTTCTTAATAACACAATAAACATATTACAAAAAAAAAATAGTTACAAAAGAACTTTTATAGTTAATACATATTTTATATATTTTTTTCAGATCGTTTTCGCTATGGTCCTCTACACCGTCAGCGCTGGTCTGATTTTAGACCACAAACCAGCCGTCATTGTACACCATGGAGCTACATCTCATCAAAACAGCAACTCGCTTTCAGTCCACCCTGTTCCTGTTGTTGCACATAAAGTGGCCGTTGCTCATGTTGCTCACGTTGCTCATGCTCCAGTAATCGCACATGCTCCGATTGCTGTTGCGCACGCACCCGTAGCCGTTGCACACACTCCTGTCCTACATCATGCTGTGCTTCATCATTAGGGCCTACGATTGAAGTATGCACAGAGATGAGCAACGATTTTATTTATTTATGTATATTATGTAATATAGGATTAAAAAATCAAAAAACTCTTTTTTATTATTTTTAAAAGATGCAATATAGTGTGGAAACCACTTTATGAAATAAAATTATGTCTGTCCTTATTTAAAAAAAAAATATAAAAAACCCTGAGATCCATCAACTTTTAAGCGGCCCCTAGATAGTCAAATTAGCGTCAATATTATTGTACCATATATTGTTCAATAATATTAGTAGGCCAACACACGAATAAATAATATTGTACAATAAATTAGTTCCCGACTGAAATTGTGCTATCAACATGTGGAATAAAAAACTGTGAGTTGTGTGGCTATCGCATTAGTTGTAGCTTTAAAGTTCAATTGAATCGGTGAGTTGAAAAATGTACACATTCCAAATTGGCTATTTTTCAGGAACCCAAAATAAAGCTGTTTATTTGCAAAACTAAATATGTAACAGAAAATGTTTCATTTATGAACTTTGACAAATTCATAATTGTAAAGATCATAACTGAAACATTTTCTGTACCATTTTTAGTTTTACAGATAAACAATTTTTTTTTGGTTCCTGCAAAAAAGCCAATTTGGAATGTGTACCTTTTTCAACTCACCGATACGACAAACAAAAATAAGCGCAGGTGGATGAAAGAATGGTTAAAAAAAAAAGAAATAAGTACACTCATAAAAATTTATTAAATAATTTAAGAATTAGCAAACCAAGTGATTTTCAAAACTTGTTGAAATAGTATTTGAATTATCACTGTCCATACTGTTTAAGTACATTATTATCTGCTTTTTTCTTATCATTATCCCCTTTCTGTATAGTACTTTTTGAAGTACCAAGTTTGTCCTGATCCACGAGAAACTGCATTTCGCTAAAATAACATAATGTTGGTTGAATTGCATAGTCTTCCCTTACATCTTTTTACAGAGTCCTTTTTATACGATGTAATTACTATCTAAAGTTAGTGCGCAACGAATTGAATTTTTTCATCCACAAGGAAACTAACTTCCTGTAGTTGGTTGTATACCATGTATCATAAAAAATTTAATAAAATCCTTTATAAAAGGTATATAATTTAAAAACCCAATCGGGTTATATCACAACAACAAAACGTTTTCGGAATACATGTTCCATCATCAGTGTATAGGTGTACATGTATTGAGCCACTAAATATCTGGGTAAAAACATGTTACCAAATCCACTGGTAACTTTAACATCTGAATATATAAGATCAAATTATGTAAACTAAATTTAAACATACAACTTTTAACGCGTTTACAAAACAACTTTTTTCTATATTCAGTCCCCAAATACTAAATAATTGGCAAGGAGATTCTTTTATCATCTTGGCGAATGCAAGACGAATCGGTTATAAAATTTGTATAAATTTATCTGATTTTATTATTCCCATAAATTTGTCGTCATTAAATTTTCTAAACAGGATGACAATCAAGGCAACCTTTGCTTGTAAATTGCGCGGAGGTAAGCCAGGTACATCCAATGAGTAAAAAAATACAATGGGATAGTTACTTTCTCTTCATTTATTACACAGTCATGTGGACACCAAAATTGTTCACGGCAGCTCTAGAGTCAATATTTAAGAGCACTCAATGGCAAGATATGGGCATCAATATAGATGAAGAAAGATTAAATCACCTAAGGTTTGCAGATGATGTTGTATTAATCGCAGATAACTTACATGATACAGTTTCTATGATGCATTCGCTTAAAAGTCTGTCTGAAAGAGCAGGATTAAAGATAAACTTTGAGAAAACTAAGCTTATAACAAATCTCGTAATGAGAGGAAATATAAATATAACTATTGACAATAATACCATACACCAAACAGACACTTACAAATATCTGGGATACGAAATCAAAATAAGCAGAGACAATCAAACACATGAAATACAGAGGCGAATAGGCCTAACATGGGCAACATTTGGCAAATTAAACCATATTCTAAAAAGTTCGATTCCCATGTGTCTCAAGCGGAAGGTTTATAACCAGTGTGTTTTGCCTGTACAAACTTATGGAGCAGATACTTTAACACTCACGCAAAAATCTGCGAATAAACTCAGAGTTACACAACGAGCCATGGAACGTGCAATGCTGAACGTGAGCCTTGACCTCATAAGTGGTAAAGAACCACGACGCTTAAATGGAACTGGGCAGGACACTTAGCCAGAACACAAGATGGACGGTGGACAAGACGTATTATGGAATGGAGGCCCAGAAACTATAAAAGAAGCCGAGGACGACCACCGACTAGATGGACCGATGATATAAAACGTGTAGCGGGAAACTGGCTACAAGCGGCCCAATGTAGGGAACACTGGAAAGAACTGAGGGAGGCCTATGTCCAGCAGTGGGCGCGATTGGCTGATTGATGATGATGTGGACCTAAAGTCTGGAAACGCCTAATTATTTTTAAATGGATTGTCTGAATTGTAATAAACCGCAATACTTCTATTCTGCAATATAGAGATTTTAAATTGAATACTTGCAATGTTACCAGATTTTCCAATTTCTGATATCATTATAATCATTAAGGTTTTTAAATCTGTATTTATAAAATAATTAGAATCCTCAGATCAATACGAGTTCAATCATATGCAACACTTGATATTTTATCTAGCCACGAAAGTCTTAAATAATTAAAACTTCTGAGTGGCAAATGGTTTTGAGGTAATTTAGTAAATATAGAAAGCTGTAATTTTGACATTAACTAATTATGAAAAAAACGAATTGCTTTAATAATGAGGGGTCACGGAGATAGAAAACATCTGATAATAAAGTGGCCAACGTGTTCAACGATACTTTCCCAAACCATTCTCCATATACATAAGGCGACGGTACAAAAAATTGTAAAGCGCTTTGAGGAAACTAGACGAGTACAAAATTACAATCAAACTTTAGATTTAATGCAGAGTTTCGTTAAAGAGCTGCACAATTACATGATTCTTCAGGTTATTCTTCATTTTTGCGTGTATTACATAAGAATTACAAAAATATGAGTGTTTCAAATTAATTCATTAACGATATGAAATCACAATCAACGAAGAACTACTTCATGTAATTAGATACGCGGACGATACAGTAATTCTGTCAGAAAATATCGAAGGTCTCCAAATTCTTCTTGATCGTATTCACAAAGTATGAGAAGAAATGGGCATTAAAATAAACTAAAACAAAACCAAATGTTTAGTCTTTAGTCGTAAACCACATCCAGATGCAGTGTTTCAATAAAATAGAGTCCAAGTTAAAAAAGTTTAGAAAATTACATATTTGAAAACTGTCATAACGGACCAGCTAGATCCAGACATAGAAATAAAACGATTAATAACAATTACTAGAACTACTTTTATGAAAATGAATAGCAAAGGTTTACCCAAGGTTATTCGAAAAACCCAATTTGGTTTCGTTCGGTTTTTCGATTAACCTTGGGTAAACCCCTGCGTTTTAAGTTCAAAGCTACCATACATTTCCAACGTTAAAAAAACTTTTTTTGCACACAGTTACAAAAAAACACCACTAATTATAATTTATTGTCTTTCAGCCCTGAAGAAGCCAAATTAATTCTCTTTGGCGAAAACGTTCGGCGAAACAATTGATACTCAATAAAGTCTTTCTTGCAGGTTTCCCCAATATTTAAGAGAGATTAAATATATATATATATATATATATATATATATATATATATATATATATATATATATATATATATATATATATATATATATATATATATGTATATAGTTCTACGAAAGACTTACGATGCCGCGACCTGGATAAGGAAAGCGGCCAAATCAAGCAAGAAAAGATGGGTAGTTCTTTTTTTGTTGGACATACAAAATGCTTTTAATTCAGCAAACTGGGGCCTCATAGTAGACCGAATAGTCGAAAGCGGGGCTCCGGAATATATGTCCAATATAATAAAGGACTACCTTTCTGAACGATCCATATGCATATCCAAGAAGAAAAAGAAAAAAATGACCGCGGGAGTACCCCAGGGTCAGTCCTGGGATATTGGTTAAGGATGATATGAATTGGGGCATAATAGAAAAGGTAAATAAAGCAATAAACACGACCGCGGCGTGGATCGAGAAGAACGACTTAAAAAGTAGGCAAGACAGAGATAATAATTCTAAGAGGACCAAGGAAAAGGGATGACTTGTTTTTCAAATATCAAGGCTCCGAAATAAGATTCCAAAGGACAGTCAAACGTCTCGGTATTACTCTTGACGCCGACTTACCTTTGGGCAGCACATACAAGAAGCATGTCGAAAGGCGGAAGGGAGGACCTCAGCATTGAACAAATTAATGCCAAACATAGGGGGGCCCGGATCTCAGAAGAGATCAGTTATATTACAATCAATATTATCGTTCATCTTATACGGGGCCCCCGTATGGCATGAGGTCCTCCTGATGAAGAAATATAAGGACATGCCCTCTAGGGCTCAAAGGAAATCTCTGATCAGGGTGTGCAGCGCGTACAGAACTGTATCTACCATTGCCTTACAGGTGGTGGCTGGTTCTGTACCCGTGCATTCCTGGCCGAATGTATCAGAGGGGTAACTGGGCGGTTGGTTCAGGGCCACAAGACAGAGCCAGAAACTTGGAGATGTGGCAGAGGGAATGGGCAGCCAAAGTCGAAAAGGCGGCCTGGACGAGGTACCTGGTCCCGCATGTAGTGAGGTGGTATGGGTGTCGGCATCGGCGCGTCAACTACTACTTCACGCAATTTCTGACGGGACACGCATCGTTTCGGAAATACACCCATAGAATCGGGAAGTCCTGAGACGATCTATGTCCTGAGTGTGGAGTGGTGGATGATGCACGGCATGCTGTGTTCGACTGCCTTTATACCACACGGGGCGAAACGAACTGCAGCTGAGCCTGGGATCTCCACTAGGCGAGCCTCACGAGCTGATCGATAAAGGCATCGACAGCAAGCACG